TGCAACTAATTGTCTCTGCTCCTGCCTTTTCTCTGCCCTACATGTCCTTGGATCAGGTGCAGAAGGCAGTTCCTCTTTCTCATTGCTGACCAGCTGCAGCTGCCTGCTTTCCCAGCCTGAAGCCTTGGGGATATCCTGCTGTAGCTGGACTTCAGCCAAATCACTTTCAAATGGCTGCTTGGAGTTGACCAACTCCCCACCACCATGAGCCAGGAACTGGGTCCTTTAAACTGATATTTGGGGAAACGTCCAGGGGAATCACTACAAGGAGCAACAACTGTGCTAGACAATTCTTAAACATGGTAGCAAAGAAGTATTGAAATTTCTCTTCCTTTGGTACTGTCTAGTGGCCGTCCAGATTTATGTCTGCCCTCCTGGGTAAACTAGACAGGAAACATGATTAGATGAACTAAATCTACTTTAACAGAACATTAAAGATTAACAGAATCTTGCCATCTGAAAGTACAAACTTCCCACTGCCATTTTTAACCATCAATTAAGGTAAAGGTAAAAGTTCCCCAAGCACATACTTGCTAGTCGTTTCTGGCTCTAGGGGACAGTGCTTATCTCTGTTACATAGCTGAAGAGCCAGCGCAGTCTGAAGACGACTCTGTGGTCATGTGGCCGGCATGACTTAACGCTGAAGGTGCAGGGAAGGCTGTTACCTTCCCACCAAAGTGGTCCCTATTTTTCTACTTGCATTTTTACATGCTTTTGAACTGCTCAGTTGGCAGAAGCTGGGACAAGTAGCAGGAGCTCACTCCATTATGCGGTGCTAGGGATTTGAACCACCAAACTGATGACCTTTCTGATCAACAAGCTCAGTGTCTTAGCCACTGAGCCACCATGTCCCTTTCAGCTGATCAATTAGTTCTCTCCTAAGTTTTTTCCGCTGATTGTTAAGCGAATGCAGATTTCTCCCTTTCTTTTCTAATCAGTCCCTGGGAAGAATCTCTTTGCCTCCTTCCTCCAGGTCATCCCCATATTTCATTACCGATATCATGGGTTTGTTGAAGGTCTTGGCAAGAGCAAGCTTAACAAGCAGCTTTCTCCACAACCCTTACTATACAGATTTATGATATTGCAAACGCTAAGCCGTTGGTGTCATTAATCTTCATCAGACAAATTTCTAATATATAATATATTCTTCGTCCTGAACTGTGGTGATGAGAAAGCTTAAGAAATCACTGCTTCCTTCAATTATGTGAGACTGCTATTGCTGGTAAATTCAGGGGATTAATTCAGGGATGTCCCTTGAATGTAAAATTATCTACCTTAATATTTTAAAATCAGCATTTGAATGAAAACGTGTTTAATCTTACTTTCCAAATCTAATTTCTGAATGATTTAAAAAAAAAAGATTGAATGAAAAATGAATGAATGAAAAAAAAGAGATTACTAGGAAAATTGTTTCCCAAAACTATGTCAATTAGACAAAATGGCAAATCTACCAAGATGGATTATTTAGGGAAAAGCGAACCTTTGAATGGAACAATGAGAATCTCTGAGAGAGAAAAATTGATGATGGTTTAAGAATTGCAGCTTATCCAGAATCCAGTAGCATAGGTAGCAAGAAACATTTTGAGGAGATGCCATATGCCTGTATTGAAAAAGCCTGCTGCTTTCTGATCCCAACTCAAGTTGTTCACTTTGCTATATGGCCAAATGACCTATAACCCCTCCATTTCAGCACAGTGCATTCCATATTATTTGAATAACAAATATCATGCCCCTATCGGAAACTGATTCAGAGGGGGAGGCCGAGCAGCTGACAGGGAGTGGGAGTGTGGCTCAGTTGGCTGTGGAAGGAACTGGGGAAGGGCAAAGGCTGGCTGGGCAGAGCAAGGGAGAGGTAGAGCAAGGGAGAGAGAATTCAGAGGAAGATCCAGGCCCACCCTCTTCATCCTAGGGCACGCAGAGAGGAACGGAGAAGGGAGCAACATGAGTTGCATGGCATACAGGGGAGGAAAGGGCCCTGATTCCCTTCATTAACTGCAGCTGGGAACACAGTGTTTAAAAAGGGAAGCTGTGGACAGCAAGTTGTTGGGAGCAAGGATGCAGTTATCTGGTATTGTCGAGGCTTATCTGGGTTCCTGGCGTCTTCCCAACTGTGTGTGTTTTGCTGAGCTTTCAAGTCTGCAATTCCTTTTCTTGCCCTGTCAAGCTAATTGCTGCAGCGTGGTTTGTGTGGGTTTTTATTTACAGTTTGTATGTACTTTATTTTCAGATTGAATTTCCTCCACTGAAAGATAGTTCTTGGGAGAGTTTTTTCTCCAGCCAAAGGTAACCTGGATATTGGGGGCAAAGTTGAAGGTATTAAAGGGACACTTCTTGCTTATTTGACTGTGTTGCCTTTGTGCCATGCCCCGGGTCACCACAACAAATCTGGCTTTTTCATTGCCAAAAGCAATAATTAAACTGAGGCAAGCCCCCCTCTTTACTGAAGTTTAGGAGGGTAAAAATGATATATTTTCTCTATATTGCTGAAGTACTTCGGGGGAAAAAGTGATGTACATGGCACTTTGTGGAAATGGCAGCGTAAATGTAACCGTTTCTGAAGGATGGCTTGTGCTTGTGGAACTCTGCTATAAAATATGACATCATCAGTTTCTTGATTGCTTTTGCTACAAGAAACAAGCAAGGTGTCTTTAAATATCTGCAGAGATTCTTAATCATTCGGCCTCTTTTCAATGATAGAAGGTAATCCCTCTCTATCCAATGGTCTTCTCTATCCAAAATGCGGACCTTGGGTTCTTCAAAAGAGTGAGTTTTGTCTTTTAAATGCAGATGGACTCCTGAATCTTGTCCTGACCTTTGAAGACAAAGGTCACTCTTTTGAAGACAACAAAGTCCACATTTTGGATAGAGAGAACCATGGCTTTGAAAGAGGGATAAAAGAATCCGACTGTTTTAGAATTGAACTACCCTCCCTCAATAGAGAGTGAGGAATAAGACACCACCGATCTCTAGTCCACAGTGCAGTCCTTCCAGCAGTTCCAAGAAGATTCCAGAACCAACTGCACCTTGATTCAGGTGACCTTGAGGACACAGATAAACTCACAAGTGGCCTCAGACTCAGAGAGAGTGCTAACAACCAGATGATTGCAAATAAATGCAATCCTTCCATTCTCCCCTCCCACCCTGGCCACCCTGTCGGAATCTATCCTTCCATCCTCACCATTAGAACTGATGAAGTTTCTTGGGTGAGAAGCGAAACCTTTTCTTCTTTTTCCTCAAAGAAAAAGCAGTCCAATTATCCTTTGAAAAAACAACTTTGAGATAAGGGTCCTTTTATTGAAAATAAAGTCAGGCAGACCAGACCATTTTTGTGTGCTGTACAATATAGTGGAGAAAGAAGCAATGCAATGTTATAAAAAGTCTATTAAAGCATCCTAACGACAGCTTTACTTGATACACCTCACTTCCAAGTATCCTTCTCCAGCTATGAATATAAAAGCTCTAAAAACCCATAAGGGCCACAAATATTGAAGAAATTGTTCATTAAATGTTTGCCATAATGATGTATTAGTTTTTAAACTTTATTCTATATATTGCTTTAAAAAACCTATTTGTTTCCTTTCTCCAAGCAGATAACAAAAAAATGCTTCAATATTTGACTCGATCTCTCTTACATTCTTCAGCATTGTTCTACACAGTTATTTCCGGCTTAACATATCTTTAATAAATTTTGCTTTATTAGCTCCATTTCACCGGGGCATTTACTAGAATGTCCTGCAAAAATAAATCAAATTATAGCACTAAGTGCTTAAAAATTGGTATGACTCAGAATTGGTATGCAAAGAAGAGATAATTATTTTTCAAAAGATTTCACTGTCCATGCTGGAAAAAACATACTGGAATTGGTTAATATAAAATAACAGCAGTAACTGCAATTCGGCAAAATAAAATGCTGTGACTTCATAAGCTGATATACTTGCTTGGCTTCTTCCTTTCCTCCTTCAGGGCTTTGGAAAAGTTGAAGAATCTTTACTTAATATCTTTCAAATTCCCCCAAGATTTAAAGACTGAGTTTTTGCACACAATAATATTTTTAAGGGTGATTATAAAAAAACATTAGCTCATTTCTGCCTTACATACTGTTTTGGAACTTGCTTGATTTGCATAATTAGATTATGAAAAATAAATGAGTTGGGGTTAATTTATGTGACAAATTGCTCACCCAACATATCCTTTTAAAAAAAAGTTCTGAAGCAAGGATAAAATGTTTCCTTTGCTATTTTTAGCCAATAGGGATTTTTTTTTGGTGGCAAGTTTTTTCCGCCATAACACTTGCTGTTAGAACTCTTACTTTGAAAGTAATTGCCATGGGAGACTAAGTAAAATATCATGGAATCACTGATTCCTTAGTAAATAGGATAATCCCTTCTCTATTTTATGTTGGCCACCAAAAGGCAGCAACCAACTGTTTTCATCCTATATTGAAGCTTGTTAGATATATAGCTAGATCATACAAGATATACAGTACTACACTGTGTAAAGATAATAAAATTGCCACATTCCAAGAGGGAATGATAAAAGTCATGTAAAATTTCAAACTTGGAGGCAGGACATTCACCTCTCTACCTTGTGAGCTTAAGAGAAGGCCATTTGTCCCATCAGCACCTGGTTCTGGAGTTGCGAGTGCGTTAAGCCCTTTCCTGGCTGTGTTACCATGTATGTACTATAACTTCCTCAGCTGCTATTTAATTTTCTTTTGTACCATGCTTGTAATTTTGTTTTAATTGTTCTTAAGGATTGTTCGCTGCTTATGGCCATTTGTTTGAGATAGGCAGTCATAAAAATTAAATAAATACACGAACAAATCAATATCTTTTACCATTTCCTTTAATTCAGTTGGGGTTTGGGGTACAATGTCAGCAGCATATGCACCTGGAGGGTATACATTTTACACCTCTTCAATATAGGTAAATGAAAATCCAAGTTGTTAAGAAATAAGCCCATAGAATTAATATACGATTTGAACAAGGAAGGTGCCAATCTGTATTTTGGAGTTTGGAGCTTAAGCGTTTAGTATATACTTTACTGATCATACTCAGACTAATTAGTCTATAATTCATTGATGCTTCTTTGTTATTCTTCTTATATGTGGATGTCATTATTGTCACTACTACCCCTTTGATATAAGGCAGGTTTGATCAACTGCGGTAAACAAAAAGGTGCCTAGCAGTTAGAATTCAGTTCTATTGCTTCCGATAAAGATTTGGTTAATACTTGGAGTTGTGCTCATTTCTAGCAATCCTATCAATTTTGTGATTTTGGACACTGATACAGATGGTCCCATTTCAAATTCTCCAGACTCTGTTAACACAGTTGTAGGATGAACAAATAGTCCTTGAGTTATAATGGTTCATTTAGTGACCATTTGAAGTTACAGCGAAACTGAAAAATGTGACTGATAACTGTTTTTCATAATTATGACTGTGGCAGCATCCCAGTCATCACATGATCAAAATTCAGACACTTGGTAGCTAGCTCATATTTATGATGGATGAAGTGTCCGGTTTTTGCGTAGTGAAATGAGGTTTATCTGAGGCGTGATTATTGCTAATTATTGCTAATTGATTATGTGATCCACTTTTGCAACCTTCTGACAAGCAAAATCAGTGGGGAAGCCAAATTCACTTAACAACCATGTTACTAACTTAGCAACCGCTGTGATTCACTTAGCAACTAGCTAAAGCTACTAGCTACTAATCACCGCTGTGATTCACTTAGCTACTAGCTACTAACCTAGCAACCACTGTGATTCACTTAGCAACTAGTCATAAAATGGGGCAAAATTCACTTAACAAATTATCTCGCTTAGCAACAGAAATTATGGGCTCCATTATGTTCATATGTCCTAGGACTACCTGTATAATTGGGTTCAGCACATAGGGTTGTATAACACAGGGGTGCCCAACCTGTGTTGTGGTCTGCCAGCAGCCTGCAGAGACTGCAGCAGAGTTGGACAATGGGGAGGAACATAGGCCAGTCTTGGAGTCTGGGGAGTACTTGGACAAGGGTCCTGCATCCGATGCAGAGATGGGGCCAGAGCCATCTGGGAGTTGTGTGCTGATTCCGGAGCCTCTAGAATCTGACAGCAGCGAGGCCGAAGAACAAGGGGAGCCTGTTCCCAGTGTGCGTGTACGCAGAACTGCCAGAAGGCAAGAACAGTTAAGGCAAAAGCGGGTGACTCGGGAGTAAGGCTTGGAGGTGATTGGCACTCCCATGAGACATAAAGGAGGAGCAAAGGGACAGGAAACTTTGCAGGAAGCAACTTTGTTCTCTCTGTTCAGATTAAACCTTGAAGCTCTGTGTAGACTTTGACTCTGTTTGGCTTTTTACAGTTAATTTGGCACGTTAGTTGTTGGCAGCAATTCAAAGAAGATAAAGGTGGGTGCTTATCTCGAGAGACTGTTTGGGACTCTTTACGAGCTGGGAATGAATATAATTCCCAGCCGTTGAAATAAAAAGATGGTTGTTTGGACTAAGCGTGTGATTAATTACGGTCTCAAGAAGTCTTGGTCACAACAACCTGTGGGCCATGGCCCATTACCAAGTCATGACCTATTTGCAACCAGGTCATGTGAGCGGTAGCTGGCTTGTGCATGATGCGCACACACAGCCTGACTCGTGTAAGCTGTGGGCACCAGCACTTGCATCCCTAAATGAAGTTTTATGTGTGCAAAGACGTCTCCTCTTCCCCCTCTTAACCCTCCCCCGGTGCCAGGCCGCCAACCTGGGAAGGTAGGGGTATGCTGCTATAACATATTTCCCATACTGATATACATGAGTGGTTTAAAAGAAGTATAAATCAGAATGAACTGGTATGATAAGAATGAAATGATAAGAATAAGAAAGATGTTACCAGAGTATATTCTGTCTTTCTATTACTGTAGGAATGGGATTTTGTCAAATGTCCCATCCCAGGTTTTTTTTTTTTATCATCAGCTAATACTATCTTGCTTGATTTAATCTAATATAAATGTAAAATTTTTATCTAAAATAACAAAATATAAATGTCTAAGGTTTCTTCCTTCTTCTTTCGACTTGAAAAAGAAACTCCATACCTTTAAAAACCCATTTTCCCATTGCATAATCTGTCTTTTGAAAATCATCCTTAAAAAATAAACAATTCTTGTGTTCTAGCACAAAAATATCCTTTTTTTTTTCAATTGCCTGTACATCTGCCTTTAGGTAATATTGACTTCTATGCAACTCGATATAAATCTCATTCAGTTATCTTCCTTGATACTCATAAAATAATGTATTCTTTTAGGGATGGTAATAGGTCTCTGTTCTTTATCCAGATTTCTGTGCCACTGCATGCAGCAAATGTGATATGGAGTTCTATACTGCCTGTTAGTTTTCTAAGCAAATAACAAATGTAACAGTGTCTACTGCTGGCAAATCAGGCAATTGCACTATACATTATAGAAAAAAGGCTGTTAAAACTGTTGTGACAAATGATAACGGCGCAAGATTCTTTTAAAATTAACAGCAGTGGATTTGCATGACAAAGCAATAAATAATTATTCATACAGCATTGCTAATAATACAAGTGGACATTTGAATTAATTATCAGTGGCAATGCAATAACTCCAGCTTTGCACTGTCTAATATAAAATTTCTAGAGGATGCTTTAAAAGACAAATAATTTAGAATTAACTAGGATTAATGGTTTCCTTTATAGCCGAATCTCCCACAGATAATGTGACCTGATCTTATCTATCATGTTTAAAATACAGATTTTAATATTTTTTTTGCACAGCAGAATGCCATTTGAATTTTCTGTTGCATTAAAGAATCAAAGAAAAGGCTGTTTTATCAAATGTTGACTTTAATCCTATCCATTCATATGTCACACTGAGCTTCCCATGGCTTACTTTGAGGAAGTGTTTTGTTGATAGAATTATAGCATTGAAAAGGTCTTGAAGGATCACATAAAATAATCTTGATTGAGGGTCCACCACATTTTTAAATCCATAGATTCCAGAACTGACCAAAGTCACAGTATGGTGTCTTCCATTAATTAGTGGCGCAGTGGTTAGAATGCAGTACTGCAAGCTACTTCTGCTGACAGCCAGCTGCCTGCAATTTGGCAGATCAAATCCTACCAGGCTCAAGGTTGACTCAGCCTTCCATCCTTCTGAGATGGGTAAAATGAGAACCCAGATTGTTGGGGGCAATACGCTGACTCTGTAAACTGCTTAGAGAAAGCTGTAAAGCACTATAAAGTGGTATTTAAGCCTAAATGCTATTGCTATTTGTAGGAAGAAAGATATCCTAGTTGATTTTGAAGTAATCAAATATTAGCCTAACATTCAATACCTAGCATATCAGATATTAGCAATGATTGCAATTCTTAGCTTCTCCGGGGAAATGGCATTGAGATAGTTGAGAATTTTAGGGTTCTACAGCAACCAGAAGAAAGGGATGAGTGGGGAAGACAGAAAGAGAAATTTCAGCCAAAATCTTATATATAGAATATACTTATAATATAAGATTACTCTAAAATCGAATTCTGCTGACTGCCGGCAGTTTGATTTTCACTGGCTCAAGGTTGACTGAGCCTTCCATCCTTCTGAAGTCAGTAAAATGAGATTGTTGGGGCAATGTAGTGACTCTATAAACGAGGGTTGTAAACAATGAAGCAGTATATAAGTCTAAGTGCTATTGCTATTGCTAAAAGCTGTAACCTTATACAGCATTAATTGCATACACAGTTACAGTATTTATGAGTAAACTCCACTGAATTTAATTCTGTAAATGCATAGGACTGATATTGATTCTTTATAGAAGATGGAAGATATAGATAGAAATGAGAAGCAATTGAATACCTGTTCCCAATTTTAATTTTTAGCCTGAATAATAGGAAATATTGATAGTCTTCAGGATTCAGCATCCTCCCCTGGAATCTAGGAGATGAATTTCTCAGTAGATTTCAGGGGTAACTTTTATATTGGTAGCTGACTGTTATCATTCACATATTTTTATGTAAGCAAATGTGTTATAATAAAGTATTATGTAATGCCAGCTGGGTGATTAACATGTTAAAGAATTTTATTCTGAACTGATACTAGCATATGTCAAACATCTTTTATAATTTAGTGGCTTTTTAAAAAGATTTTAGCATCTTGGGTTTTTCCCCAAGATTTTAAAGATCTCTTTGAATTGGGTAGGAGATATTCCTTGATCCTGAGTGGGCAGTACCACTTTATAAATATGCATCTTTAGTTCTAATAATGTTTCACTGGTGGGTTTGAGATAATTAGTTCATAATATTCAAAATTCATACCTGAGATTTTTTTTTTATTAGAATCAACCAAGGTGATTCAAAAGAGAAGTATAGAACATCATTAAACAAGATGAAAAAATAGTCAGCAGATTGATATTTATGGAAATAGAATATGTCTCCTGCACCAGTATGCTATACATAGGGATTGAGTCAGTCAACAAAATCTGGGAGTTGATTGAATAACTTCAAATAGTACTCAAGGGTTATTCCCTCCCCATAAACAGTTGTTCATTGGGTCACTTCTACTTGCAGAAGCTAGTCTCAATAATGAATTTTTCTGATCACTCTGCATGTAGAAGACATAAGTACCATATTTCAAGAAAAGAAACACAAAACTGATTGTGGTAGTTTGGTACTGTTGATATGTTGTTGCTTTTTAATTCTTTGTTGTTATTATGCCAGTCTCATTCAGCCTTGTTCTGCAAGTTCCTGTAAATGTGAGAACAGTTGTTTCTCTGAATCTGGCTACAGTTCTATTTGTTCCTCATAATTATGCCTCTATCAATTTTGACAGCATAGGCTCCAAGCATCTCATGCTATTCCTATATTGGTAATATTTAGTTTTCAAACTTTGCTTTAATTTTCACTTAGGGTCCAAGATGCAACTGTGGCAAAACATTATCTTTATGATGGTTAGCGTATTGGAATTTTCAGAGGGATTTTGCTGATTGCTTTCAGTTAAAAATTGCAAGTTTATTTCCAACAATAGAATTGGGATTATAGCTGTCAGTGCATAAATAGTCCTTATGTAAGGCAGGGACCTTTATTATATTTGGGTCTTACAAATAAATATATCCATACTTTAAATGAAATAGCTACATGAAAACATTCCTGGAATGAATTACCAGCATTGTCCATGGCACAAGGTAACAGATCTGTTTAATACTGCTGCTTTTATAGATTTAAAACCCTAAATATTGCACATCATACAGATATTTTCTTTTAAAAATTTGTGTAATGTGTTAATGTTGCTTGCTATAAACATTATAATTTTTGCAGCAGAACCCTCATTGGTTTTCTTTTCTTTGGGGTTTGTAACAGTATGTCTTGATTTTTATTAGATCAAGAGTTTTGTTCAGGATGGAGTCCCTGAGGTAATTCTGTCTTCCACCACTCATCTGCCTTAATTTTTTTCTCCTGATGATCCCAAAGAAATTAGTGGAACAGCAGAACAGAGCATCTCCCAAATGCCAAATGCCGAACTTCTCAGCTTTTTGTCATATTCTTTAACTACTATTAGTTTCCTAGAGTCTTTTAAGCATACTTATTCTTCACCCCTTGCTGAAGAAAAACTCCTTTGTTCCATCTTTGTGCTCAAGTCCCACTGACTATATGTCTTTGGTTCCTTTTTCACCTGAAGTCATTGAGAGAGTTTTCATCTTACACAAATGAGTCTTCATCTGTCTTTTAGTAGCCTTCTCAATTTATATCAACTAAGATTTCAGACAGGGCATTCAAATTGGATAGCACTCTACCAGTGATATCTGGTGACCAAGTTCCATTACTTTATATTGGTATTGATATTTTGGGACCTGATAGCAGTAAGTGACAGTATTGATAATTAGACATCGCTCTAAGGTTACAGTATTTGGACATTACTGGTAATGCACTGGACTGGTTTTGATTTCTTGTTCAGTCTGAAAAATTTCCCCTTATAGTGGGTATCTCTCTTGGGGGTTCATGGGAAGACTTATTTTGTTCACTCTTCCTTTGATTCATGATCAGGAAATCCAATAACATAATTATATTGATCATATTGAAGTCTACTGATCTTCTGACTGTTGATCAACTGTAATGGAATGTCTTGGAATACGATGGAGTAAACATTTTCATTTGGTTGTCCAACTATCTGAAAGTGAATATGGACAAGACTGAGACTGTTTATTTGTTCATTATTTTTCATTTCAATCCCACTGCAATCTAAGTGAATCTCGGTAGTTGGGTTTTTATGTTTCAATCTGATTTTTCTTTCCATGACTCTTCACATTTGTCTCTAAGGGCTCCCAGATTGCTCCAGTTTCTTCCAACTGCATCTTGGAGAACTTGACTGATGGCCAACTATGTCTATTTATGGTTTCTATAGCTAGAGTTTCTAAATTTCATTAAGTGAATATCTGTAGGGTGTTAGGGGTTTCTGATGGAGGTGACTGCAGTGTTACTAGTCTCTGCTTTGTTTGTCACTATTTTGGATACAGTCCATTATTCCCTAAGATTCTGACAAAACACAAATCCAGCAAATACCCCCCCCCCCACGCACACACTGTATATATGGTACTTTATCAAGTTACACAATCAGCATATGTCATTACACTGTCCAGCCTAAGAACATCTAATGTTTAAGAAAACTTAAAAAGTATGACATAAGTTTTCTTAGCTATGTAAAGATAACTCTTCTGAGAGGAACAATGCTCTTAACAGGATTAATTAATGCAAATAGATTAATCAGTACTTAGCCACCATCAAACTCACTTGGGCAAGGCCACACTGTAAACTATGGACTAATTTAATAAACATAACAACTGCCGCCTAGGTCTCTAGTTATCATCTGTGCCAATTAGACTGCTCATTTATGAGCATACCCTGAGTGTTAATCTGCTATTATGTTGCTTATAAGCTATTCCATTTGTAAACACAAAAGAGTGGCTAACTTCTCTTAAGCCTTCAATATAATTCTTCAGTGCCTCCTAGCCTAGAAATACAGAAGCTATCAATACCAATGTAGGGGATTACTGACAGTAGTGGTTTAAATTTCTCATCAGTTCCCTTCCTTTTTGATTAGCAAGTGAAGAAGCAAGGGCTGGAGAGAGAACAAAGCTAAAGAATACATAATATAGAGACACAGCATTAATATTCAATTAATATTGAATGCAAATTCTTTAGTTACATGTGGAGATTAGGTTTCATTGTTGTGAACTGGCTCTCTTGAATTCCCTAGATCCTCCTGTAGTCATTTACACAGCAACAAACAGCTACTAGGATTTGTGAAATTTAATGAAATATCAGTAATATTTCTGGACATGCCTTTACAAAGTGATACTACCTTTATTGCTTTATTTGTTTGTTTCCAGAGCATATGTGAATTTAAGCAGGCTGGGAAAATTTGTTGAGTATTTTTAGAATTAAAATTCTGCATTTTAGAGATAAAATTATGCCATTTGTTATTTGTTTTTAAGATATTGGTTCCTTATGATAGTATACAGTTGTAAATAAATAGGAAACAAAGCTGTTTATATATGTGTGTAGATGGTTTCCATATTTAATAGAGAGCCACTTTTCTCTGTAGAAAAGCCTACATCTTCACTAAATATAATAGCCCTGTTTTTATGGAGAATAAAAACAAGGTGCATGTTAATCTCTGGTTGCATAAAGTGTAGAAAGAAATACACACTCTAGGTAAAAGGGTGATAGATAATTTGAAATTGAAAAGAAGAGTAAGTTACTTCAATCAAATATTACTCATCTTTCTTATTCTTTGCTAAATTAGTATCTGTTCTGGACGATAAGTTGTATAAGCAACATACATTTGTTCATTTCATTACAATATCTGTACTTTGTCAAGCTGTTTTCCTGTTGCCTCAAACTGAAAGTAAGATTTACTAAGATGAAACAGATGGGATTACAAGAATATCAGCAACTGAACTCTTTCCTATTTAGATCCAATTTTTCCTATAATACGTTAAACTATCATCTTTTTAGTTTTGTTTCTAACAGACTTCCTGTGAGATATTTTTTCACTGAATGGAAAAACTTGCAGATAGCTGTGTTATATAACTGTGTCCTGAGTCTTTATCAGTCTGGAAACCAACAATTACATATTTAAGTGATTCCCGAGTTAATGTATTTCATTCCATTTACACTAGAATTAAAACAAAAAGTGCAGATTATAATAGCAGTAATTCTGCTCTCTGTAAATCTTTGGGTCATGGAAGAGTTATTTCATATCATATTAAGGAAAGTCTAGACTCAGTAGACAGGTTGAATGATTTGCTCAATAACCTCAGGCAACCAGGACCTGAGGGAACTTTTGAAATATCACACTGTATTGTTTCCTTTGTGTTTCAGCTGGGTGAAGTTCATTAATGAAAGCTACTGATGATAGAAAGACCTTTATGCCAAGTGATCTTGGATGTCTCAGTTTATAACTCAGCTTCTTTCCTAACATTCTACATTTGCTTGTGTACTAAGTATTGTTTTAATTGAATAGCACTTAGAAGCATACATATTGAAGTGAGGTGCACAAAGCTATTGTTAAGAAATGGGCCAGAATTGTGAGAAGAAAATAACACAATAGACAAACAGAGAGGGAAGAAGGAATGTAAAAGAAGAAAAGCTAAGAAGGTAGGAGGTTGAGAGAAATAGAATAAGGCAGTTTAGATAGCAATGGCTTACCGATAGTAACTGATGTAATTGTAAAGTTGCAAAGAAAAAATAGCAAAAGTTAAGCCAATGTGAAATGTGCAAAATGAACTAGGAAGCAGAGAACAGCAGGAATAAGGATAAGTATTTGTGAAAAGGCCTTAGACTGCGACTTGATTAGAAACTGAATGTGCATTAACCCTGTGAGAAGCTGTTACTGGGGCAATCTAAGGGTCATGTGTATATGATTCAGATTGTCCAAGGATCTACTGATACAGTTGTACAAGGGAAGTATTGAGTCTATCATTTGTACTTCAATAATTGTCTGGTTTGGCATTGCATCCAAACAGGACCGGGACAGACTTCAATTGATAGTTAGGACTGCAGAAAAAACAACTGCAACCAGCCTTCTTTCCATTGAGGATCTGTATACTGCATGGATTATAAAGAGGGCTGAGAAAATATCTACAGATCCCCTCATACCCTGGGCATAAACTTTTCAACTTCTCCTCTCAGGATGCTGCTATAGGGCATTACATGCCAAAACAACTAGATACAAAGACAATTTTTCCCCTGTGCCATCACTCTGTTGAACACAGGACTATCTTAGACCTAAAGATAGGGCTGTATTGCTATTATTCTTTTCATCTTTCTCATTTCTAATTGCCTTATCTTCTCATCTTTCCTATGATCTTCTCCAATAGTATCCTATGATTGATCATGTTGTTTGTATCTTATGATTAATGACTGTAACTATGATTTATTATCTATGACCTATTACTTCGTTTGTACGTGCACTGAGAGCTTATGCACCAGAGACAAATTCCTTGTGTCTAATCACGCTTGGCCGATAAAAAATTCTGTATGTCTACCTTGTTCTTCTTTGCCTCACGGTTAATAAATGATTCCAAGGTATCAACCTGCATTTTTGTTTTCTTCAGTTGAATGAACATTATGTGTATATACTGAGAAGTGTACATTCTGAAAGTCTTGTCCAGTAAAAAGGAACAATTTAGCTGTAACCTAGATTTGGCTATAAAAGAGATGTTGTGATATATTTTAAGTGGAATCTGCAAATATTCATCTTGAATATAAATTAATATAAAAATAAAGCCAGTCTAGAAATCACTCAGTAATCATATAACATATGCACTATTTTTCCCAAAACTTCCTATTTACCATATAGCTACAACAATGAAAAACTATCATCTGAAATCATTGATTTTTTTCAAATTATTTTGTTCTTTTATTATACAGCAGAAATGACACCCTAAAATTACAATAATACCTTCTTAGTTGGTAGTCACACAATCAGTAAAATATATGTTCTCCTTCTGCAAGCCTGTTAAAAGATCTTTGTTCTAAACAAATGTGTTACATATCAATATTTTGTTCTTGCTAGAAGTGTGTATTTTAGCACAGATTTAAGTCAGTAGATGGCTCTCTTGAGTTTCCCTTGGTACACCTAACATAGTAAATAGCTACCCTAGATTTTCAAATTATAAGAGAATTTATTTTTCTTCATGATTTTGAAAGAAAACCTTACTCAATTTCGATGTTTTTTTTTTGTTTTGCATCATTTTTACCCATTTTTCATTAATTTGCATCCTCATTTTTCATACAGTATCAGATATACAAACTGAATTTTATGTGACTAAAGTCACAATGTTTCCAAAGTGGAATAACATAGAACAAATAAAATGAGGGAGATGTAGAGAGGAAACTTACCATTAATAACTGGTACATGACATATGGTCATTGCAAGACTACCTGATTAAATAATATGGCCCTAGTACAGAGTTTAGATTTTACATTAGTAGTTTATTAGTAGTTTTCCTGCAGGTGAAATTACTTGGTGAAAAACCCATTACATTTCTTGAAGTTTGATTTTATTTTCTGCCTTGCATGGAAATTCCACAAGTAAAGAACTGTTTCTCAATATCCTCAAAATCTCTTCTTTAGTGTTTAAAAGCTGTTATAAAACAATTCAATTTCAACTTCACTTTTCCCTGCCAAATACTGGAAAAGAAATATGTATAGGTATAGATTTCTTAAACACAAAGGAAACAGAAAGGCCAAAGGAGACATAATTATTCCCCAGTAAAATCATGGGATTTTACCCAGAATATTACTGGTATTATATTATACATATGTATACATATATACATCCCATGATAAATTTCTATTCTTTGTTATAATTCTGTTTTTGGTAGTTTTTACCAAGGGATGAAGATACTCAAGACTTTTAAGGAGTGAATGTCTGCAGTATGCCCTTACATCCTAGATGGAAGGCAACTGTGATTTACTTCCTGTTCCTGACATTATTAGACTATATTGGTTAATTTCTTGTTTTTGTCTTAATTTGAGGAACTAATGTCTTTCTTTAAATGGTCCTATTATATTTTGCAAATTGAAGATTAGCTTCTTCCTATTTGGTTTCCTCTGTCCAAGGTCCTGATCAAAGTACGGTAAATTGTTTTTCCAAAACAGTAGAATGCTAGAATTTCCTTCAAAGCGCCCATTAGTATGTAACATTCTATTTAAGCAGCATTCATCTTAAGAATTAATATATTATGCTGTAGTTCAATGAATATTTTTTGTGTGCCTTCAAGTCACCAAGCTGGCTTTGTGCCTAAGGTGGGAATAGAATTCATGGGTTTCTGCATTCTAGCTGGTGCTTTAACCACTACAACAAATAGACTCCCTAATATATTTCCAGATAAAGTACAGGTTTGACAAGCACTGTAAAATGCCAGCTATGTCAATTGCTATCTTAATAGAACAGAACAGAACAGAATATTCTTTATTGGACAAGTATGATTGGACACACAAGGTCTCCAGTGCATAAGCTCTAAGTATATACAAACAACAAGTCATAGATAATAAATCATAGTTACTATCATAAATCATAAGATACAAACAATGAATGATAAATCATAATAAAAGAAGATAGTAAGAAAGATGAGAGATGAAAAGGATAATAGCAATAAAACCTACTATAGATATGTAGATATAAAGCTTATGCAGATATAAACCTTGTTCTGAAAGAAACTCTAAAATAAACCTATAAGTAATACTTATAATATAAGTAATATTGAATTTACTTAGTATCACTTTAAAATTTAAAGGGATATTATTATTTTTTCCATGTTTGAAAAAGCAAACAAACCTGGGGAACAAGAATTAAAATAAAAACAATTATGTGTTTCTATAGTATATATTGGTGTCCATTTCATAGGGTAGCAAATGAGAGGTTACAATATCAATAATAAGATTAATCAATAATCCACAAAGAAAAATCCAGAGTAGGCCTGTCAAACTGGCGGCATGCAGGCTGCATACGTCATGCACAGGCCAAGCCTACCCCAGCTCCGCAAAGGCAGAAAAAATTGTGATACGTCATGATCCGGTCCATGATCGAGTTTGACACCCATGGTCTACAGTCAATAACAACCACAAAATACCAATCTATCACAAAAACCAAATTGCTAATGTTCTATTTTGTGCATTAAATTTTTAGGGAGAGTATTGGGTATTGTTGTTAAAGTCCAACAAACATTTAGCTGAAATGTACTGCAATACATATTTGGAAAATTTTGGCCTTGGCAGTGCGCTGTGCTGTACAGATACAATTTATAAGCATTCCATACAAGTATGTTTGAAGAAAAAATATGTATAAAATCAAAGTGCATCTTGCATTCCAGTCAAATGATTTGGATGATAAGCATATGAAGCTATAGAAATCATGGATGTTTTGAAGTTCACTTTCATACATAACGCTTAGAGCCATTTCAACTGGGTGGAAATTTACAGGACAAATGCCTCCTATCTCTTTTTTGTTCAGTGTTAGCAATCAGGATGTTCACATGAAAAGAAAAGTTTATGAGTGATTCTTTTAGGTGATCATCTATAACTTCAAATCTGCTTTGTTCCTGTAGCCACATCTACTAGCAGCTGATTTAATTAGTGTTATTTTTGCATAGCAACCAAAGAATGTTATGCAGTGATTCTCAAAGACTGTATAATTCTAATGCTTTGACATATCGATAGTGAGCAATATGTGTGGTGGACTAGGCTATCTTTGGATTAGGTCAATAAGAGATGTCCAAATGTTGTCAGGGTTTTCTGTACCTTTAATTGCACACAAAAATGCCAAAAGGAAGAGGGAGAAACATCAATCAAACACACTTTGTTTATAGATAAACTAGCACCAGTCTTTTTTGTCTTGATAATTTGATAATCTGTAGCAAACAGACTATCTCACTGGAGTGTGAATTAATTAAAATTATTTCCTTCAGCACTTGTCCCAAATAATCACTGAACATTTTTTTTAAAAAATTCCAGCCTTATAAAATCCAGAATGGTTAGATTTAGCTGATAAAACAGAGACTGATCACTAAAATGTCATGATTGCCAGCTGTATAGTTGAACAGAGATGTTTATCAATTGACAAGTAAATGTTTGAGTAGTATTTCAATGGATTTCTTTCTACCCTTGGTGCAACTTTCTTGTCTATTTAGAGATTATACCTTTTGTATTCCTCTACTCTCTTTGTACATGTTGCTTTTTAAAACTATACATGTGTGTATTTTGTTTCGGTACTAAACATTTCAGTTTTTTTCCCCCTCATTTCCCCCGTTTTTTCTCCCATTCTAAACGTTTTCCTTTCAAACGATTACTTATGAGCCTGAAGGGTTTCTCTTTTCTAACCAGAACCAAACAACTCCTGAGAGATCAGGAGCCGAGGTTCAATTTGTGGGCACTAGACTGCTATGTAGTCTAGGAAAACAGAATCTAAAAGCAGGTGTGAACTGGAGCAAAAAAAAAAAGTGGCTCCCTCCTTCCTTCCCTTTCTCGTCCTGCTTGATTTGGTGGTAATTCACATCTTCGCGAAAAAGTAGCAGCGTCTCCCAACAAAACGAAGAGAGAACGGCGAAAGAATCGGGCGAAATCCATGTGGAAGATTGGGCAGTTGGGTTTTTGGGGAGGATCCACATCCCTCCCAAACCCTACCGCCCCGTTTTAGATGGAGAGTGACCTCTACCGCAGTCTAGCCACGGAAGAGCCGGGCACCTGGGATATCCAAAGCCGCCCCCACCCAAACTCCAAAGGTGCCAGCCTTTTCTGCTCCTGGGACTGCCGTTGGCCCCGGACTAGTCAAAGAGGTCGCTCCCGGGAGAAGGGTGCCGCCCTGCCGGGAATCTACCAGGAGGCCGGCGCGAGGAAGGAAGCGAAGCCACGCGGGGCCATTCCGCTCTCGAGACCCCGCCACGCATCGCTCTTTGTTGTCAACGGCTGCCGAAGCGCGCTTTCCACACGCGAGTCACCTTTCCCGTCCGGAAGGTCAAAGCGGGGTCCGACCGCGTCGAGCGACGAGGGATGCCCGAGGAAGGGAGGGTTGGGACTACAAGTTAAGGGGGGGGGAAGTGGGGTGTTCCGAGGGACACGTCGCCGCCGCCGCCAGTCGGGAGTCTTTGGTGCCAAAGGCGTCAGTCCCACCGGGGGAGCCTCTCCGGAGCCGGGAGGAAGATCTCCAGACGGCAGGTTACAACTTCGCTTCCTTTCCCGCCTTCGAGGGCTCCGGATTCTCTTCTTCGCACCCCGTTTCTTTCCCCCTCAAGAGTCGCCCCTTTCTCGTCTCTCTCCCTCCCTCCCCTCGTTTAACCTCACCAGCGGCCACACGACCTCGCTCTCCCACACCCACTTTTGGCGGGTTCTCCCTTCCCGTTTCCCACCCCCCCGGGCACCTTCTTTCTCCCTCTCTCTCTGCCCCCCCCCCCCATGCCACGCGCTGCCCCCCCCATTGTCGCGCGCGCGCGCGCTGAGCGGGGACCACAAAAAGCCCCCGCTGGAAGGCGAGGGGCGGCCTCCTTGTGCGTGGCTTCCCTTGGTCGGCCGAGCCTTTTTTTTTTTTTTTTACAATCCCACCGGCCACCCCACCCCACCCCTTTCGCCGCCCTGTTGTTGCCTCCTCCCGTTTCCCCCGAACCGCATGTTGTTGCTGGTTTTTGTGTCGGCTTTGGGAATCGCCCCGCTTTTAACTCCCCACCCACACGCCCCAAGGACAAATCCCCTCCCTCGGTTGCCTTGGGAAGGGAGAAAGGGAGGGTTGTGTGTGTGTGTGTGTGTTTGTGTGTGTGTGTGGCGGGGTGTCGGCAAGGGTGGGACCGAAGTGCCTTGATATGAAGTCTTTTTCTCTCAGGAGCCGTAGCCTACACTTTCCAGATGCTGCTTTCCGAAGCACTCGGCGGCAGCTCTGAGGAGGAGGAGGAAGACGCGGCGATGGTGACCCGAGCGATGGAAGCGGCGGTTGCCGCCGCCATGGAGAACCGGGCATGAGCCCGGCGTCGTGGAGGCACTACTATCGCAATCTTAGACAGACCGCCGCCGCCGCCGCCGCCGCTGCTTTGGCTGCCGCTTGTTGCTTTGCTTCGGTCCGAAAGCCTTCAGAGGCTTCATGGGTGGCGACCCCGTGACTTTTTCGTCCTTGCCCTTGGCCCGTGAGGCGATGGGGTCGCGCCTAAGCTGAGCCAAGCCCGGCGCCCTTTCCGCGGTGAGGCTTGAGCCGGGCGCCCGAGGAAAGCGCGGGAACCCGAGGGGCCATGGCTGCGGCCATCGCCAGCGGTTTGATCCGCCAGAAGCGCCAAGCGCGCGACTTGCAGCACTGGGACCGGCCCTCGGCCAACAGGAGGCGCAACAGCCCCAGTAAGAACCGCGGGCTTTGCAATGGCAACCTGGTGGATATCTTCTCCAAGGTCCGCATCTTTGGGCTCAAGAAGAGGAGGTTGCGGCGCCAAGGTGTGTGCGCGCGTGCGCGCTTGTGTATTTTCTGTCCGTGTATCTCTGTGTGCGCCTGCCTTGTGTTTGGAAGCGAAAGTCCTGACTTGGGGTTTGCTCACAAGTTGGGGCTCTAGGGGTAGTCCTCAGCTGACGACTGCAATTGAACCCTGTTGCTAAATGAGAAATGAGTGAAGTGACTTTTGCCCCGTTTTAGGACTTGCCTTGCTCGCCACACTCGTGAAGCGAATCAACTGCAGTTGTTAAAATTAGGAAAAAAAAATAGGGATTAAGTGAATCCAGCTTCCTGATGGACTCTTGCTTGTCCGAAGGTCGCAAAGGAGAATCCCGGGACACTGCAACGGTCAGTTGTCAAAGTATCTGAATGTAAATCACTTGACCTCGGGGATGCTGCAATGGTCATCAGTGTGAAAAAAATGGTCATAAGTCACTTTTTGCGCTGCCGTTGTATCTTTGAACGGTCACTAAGCAAACTGTTGTAAGTCGAGGACTGCCTTTACCCTGTGGGAAAATGAATGAGGAAACAAACAAACAAATAAGAGAAATAACCTCCCCATACCTTCTTGATGCTTCCCTTAGGGCTTGTGGTTGGTGGGAAACATCTCCAGTATGTTCCATTTGTTCTTTTAGATGGCTCTCTGCTCATTGTCAGAGAGGCTATCTTGGAGTCAATGTGTCAGAAGGGATTCTCCTGGCTTTTATTAGGCAGTAATCTGAAACCAGTTTTCCACCGTAAGCATGCATGTGAACAAATGTCTAAACTCCCTATTTATTAAACAATATTTGGTGTGTAAGTGATATAGTTATATGGAGTGTTAAAAAGTCAAAAAGTCCATGTAATTATGATCAATAATCAAGCTAACCACAGAAATGCTGGTAGTGCTTATAACACTTTATACAAATGAGGGAACAACAATCCACCAAATCTGTGCTTTTGAGTACTTTGATTACAAAGTACTATGTTCCAAACGCTGCAATATTTGGTGAAGTGATTGGGAAAAGTGCTTTCAATAAATTGGTTTACTTTTGATGTAGTCAAGAGTATCATTCATTCATATATATATATATATATATATATATACACACACATACATACATATATATATATATATATAAATATATAAATATATAAATATATAGTCTGGCCTTGTGCCCCAGCCTTCTGGTGTGCTGCTCATCATCTGTGCTACTAATGCTTAGGATGGGTCTGGTAAGATTATCAGTGTTTCGGATTAATTAGAACAGGTATGTGGCATTGTGTAAATGGGATCCCTTATGCCATTTATTTTCATGCAGAACAAAATGCTTAAAAAGCATTTCCCCACATATTCTAATTGAATTGGGTGAGCTCTCAGAGGGCTTAAAGTACAACAGAAAATGTTGCTCTTTGAGATCTGTGAACAGTATTCTAACTTGTTTCTCATCCAGTTGTGTGAAAATGGCTAAGAAACCTTGAAGCCCTGTAGAGATAACAAGGAGAAAAATAGGATGTGTACTGTAAGACAAAAATCAGTAATGGAAAAAAGCATACGATGTGAAAGTAAATCTACAAAATCATTGCTAGTCATGCTTGGATTTTATCATTGCTTTCATTGCTAGAAGATTTTTTGTTTTAATAATAAATATAACAAGATCAATTTGAAGGCAATTTTTCTAATATAAAAGATAATTTATAATTTTTCCAGTACTAACAATTTACATGGAGAAAAAGAAATGAAGTCTTTATAGGAAAATAAGCCTGATGAGAGAACAAGTGGGCTAATAACACTAAGGTTTCCAAAAGATGCACATGAAAAAAATATGACAATTTGAGATGGGATAATAAATGTAGCATTCAGTGCATTTTGACTTTTTTCAAAAATTAAAAATGAGCAAGATAAAGATGTGTTAGACATTTGATGGCACTGTAACTTTAAGAAATCAGAGAAATTGAAGTGGAGAACCCTTAATGAGTAAATATAGGGAAATTCCAGTTCCATAACAACATGGCTCTGCATGCTATGGCTGCCTCACTCTGATCATGTTGACTTTTAGTAATTGTCTTCCTCTGCATTCTGGGATAGACTCCCAGATTTTGGGATATCCCCTTAACACTTGTCTCCTCCTCTTCAGTTTTACATTTATTTTATTCAATTTCTTCCCTTTCTGTGAACAATACAGCACTATGTGGTCTCCACCTCACCTTCAATTTATTATTTTGTATTTCTTTTCACCTGTGCAATCACCGAACTTGTCTTTCAGGGCAAAGAGCTATAACTCAGGGAATCTTTGGACGAGCTAATATTACCAGATGTTGTGTATTTTTGTTTTTCTCTCTCATGTTCTCTCTGTGTTCACAGTTCAGTGGCTACGAGGGGTGGGAAGAAATGCTATCTTATACATATTCTCTGTCTACAAGTGAATTTGACAAAAACATAAGCATATATCATATAAAGAAGTACGATAAAAAAGCTGCTCTTGTTTAGAGAATTTCCTATTTCCCATTCTGGTTACACATTATATTTGCAAAGGGTCAAAGTTCATATTATCCATGCTGATAGAAAATGGAAATTTGATTTCTCCTAAGATGATTTCCCACTTTTAGTTGTAAATTCTGCATACTTTTTTTATTTTTTCTTTATGTGCAAAATAATGTATTGTTCAAATTACCAAATGTACTAGAGAGCAATACTAAAATGTTTGCCTTGGCTAAGAAAGTGATCTATACTTCTTTCTAGTGCATAAGTTACACTTAAAAAGTTTTACTAGTATACGGAAGACTAAAGATCTTTAAATGAATAGATCAAGAATAAAAAGAGTTTTAAAGCTTTATACTGTCATTACAAGTGTGATTTAGCAATAGCATAGCTAAAATGTTAGTGTGAATTTCTGGCAGTAGCAGCTACTGTATATAAAATGCTAAACTGGTTGTTACAGATTATTGGAATAAAGTACAGATAGAATAGTGATGTTTATAAATTGCTAGATTCTATGGCTGCTTAATAGCAATTTCGTCAACAAAGCAACATTAATGGATCAATTTGTGACCACATTTTTTTTTAGTTTATAGCAAAGGCATTAGAAGGCTTAGCAATTTTGTATAATTTGTATTTTGAAAGTTGTAAGAAAGAGATTTCTCATGAAATGTGATGTTTGTCATATGTTTAATTTATGACATGCAACTTAATAATACAATATTTTGTATTTTTATAGAATAAAATGACACTAATAGTAGTATATACTTTCAGTGTTTAGGTACGGGGATGAGATATGCATGATATCTGTTTATATTTGCTTAAGAGTATCCAATAAAAGAGGAACTTTATTTAATGAAATAGGGACTGTATTCAATAATATATCTATAAAATTAAAATAAATGAATTGCTAGCCTTAAATCATAATGTTTATTATGTCAATAATGGTCTTAAATAAAAGTAACTTAAAATGGACAGTGAGTATGTTAGAACGCAGGAAGTCCAACATACCCAAGTCATTAAAGCTGATTAATTCTCTATTATGAAATGCTTCTTTAGCCATGTACTATCATTTTAAAAGATAAAAAAATATATTTGTGTAATATTGTAATTTATTGATTTCATTTCATTCAAGGCATTCCCTATTTTCAGTATTCAAATATAGAAAAGTTTTAGAGAACGTTCCTAGAAACCATTTATAAAATGTTTGCTTCTTTTTCTTTTCAACTCTTCCGTTTTAAATAATAAATGTAGTAGATATGACAATAGGATCATATCCCTTGTTTTTTACAACAGAAAAATTTGCTTCCTCAATATGATGACTAAGAAGTGATTTAATTTTAGAAACAAACATCACTGTTTTCCAAAACATGTACTTTAAAAATGGGAAATATTGACAAATTTTACTTTCATCGTATATCATCGTATATCATCTAAACAACTATTCATGCTTAAGTTTTATTTTGATAACATTTTTATTGCTTGTAAGGAAAAAAAGTTGTTTTGCAGACATCTTCACCTCATCACAAACCATTTTCCAAGTCCACAAGTTGTGTGACCATTTCTATTGATCATCGATGATCAGAATTTGTTTTTAATAGTATGTTGTGAAGGAGCAAACCAGTTCAACTTAATTCAATAATTAGATCTTGGTAAATGATCTGATCTGATGTAATGAATTGAATCATAATTAGAAATTAAATACTATTTCAGTTACTAATGATTAACTTCCACTGATTTAAATAGATATACTTTAAGTATTCTATCTTATGTGCTGAAGCTTTTCATACTGCAGTTTGGGATGTTCATGGAATTGTTTAGGATTAGGTTGGAATGCAAGAAATTAGTTGTGAACAACCATTGAAGGAAAGCCCAACATAATTTAATGTTAATAATAAAATTTCTAAATTTGGTTTTGGGTAATGTATATGCAGAACAAGATGTGCTTATCTTTTGTTATTGTTTCTGATGATCTTTCATCCAAATTGAGTCATTACAGTTGCACTCATTAATATATAAAACTTTCTCAGCCACACTGCTAAGCTATCATGAAAAATCATTTTCTTGTAACCCCTGAGTAGACCTGGATTATTCTCAGATTATTAAACAGTTTTCAGTCAAGTTTTACTTGTCATTGTTAATGGTTTAAAGTATGATTAACTTTTTAATATTTTAAAATGAAATTAAATACAATAAAGTACATTTTGTATAGTTTTCTTGTATTTATTTGGAAGTAAATTCCAATTACTTTAATGGGGATAATTCCTAGGTAGGTAGCATAATTTGCACTTTAGATTGGTTGATTCAGAAGGTTTCTCCCAGATAAGCATGCAAGATAATTTAGTTATCATTTGGTTCTAGGATAACAGTTAAGCAGTTAATTACTCTATGTAGGAAATTGAAATGAGAACATTTTACTAGTTTCATTTGCATCTTTCTTAAATGACCAATTGATAAATTACATTTTTTCTTCAAGAAGATTTTAGTTCACTGAAAATGCTATCTTGTTGAAAAAAGAACAACAGGTGCCTGGTTGCATGTTTACAA